TGTCGAGCGGCAAATAGATTCATCAATGAGAATAGCTCGTCAACGGCCATCGCATATTGCGTTGGATGCGGCGTTATATTTTTGAAAGCCCATTGCAAGTTTTGATGCGCAGCCAATTGTCGCGTCAATGAGCGGCTTTGTTGGCAACATAAACGTAACAGTCCATAGTATGCGGGCAACATAGCACGATTATATGCTACAATATCGACATCATCGTGATCAGCTCTGTAAATACAATCAATCGATAAGCCATTTTTAATCCAACGAAAACAAAAGAGACGACACTATTTGTGTGATGCTTTCAATCACTTCAATTGATGATGCATTACTTACAGAATGTAATTAAATGCAATGTTTCGAGTTATCTCCGGGCAATTGGCAACGGCCTGAGCATTTTCGGGGCAATCATTGGTTGCATGGTACCAGAATGCTAGAAGTGCTTGTTTGTTATGGTGAGCAGGAACACTTGGCTCCGACAAACGCGGATGGAATAGATCCCATAACGTTCGAATGTATGGTGTTAACTGGAGTAAGGAACAAAACCAGAAATTTTTCATTACAAAAAATTAAAAAAAAACTCGTTTGAAACTTCGTTCAAAACCTACCATAAGTTTTTCCGTTTTTGATACCATGCAATAAGTCATCAAACCGAAGTAAGCTGACAATTTGCTCGGACCATGCACCAATATATCGGTATAAACTCTGGCAGGCCGTAGTAAACGCAGCAATAAATTTAGAATGGTGTGCAATATGAGCGTAGCCTCGTCACTGAGATCTCGGTGCGATGTGTGCACTTGCAGTTTCAATGAAGCGGCACGATAGTTTGTGCGAAAGGATTGTGACGGGACCAACGATACCAGAAGATAAGCGGCAGCTGGAGGAATAAAAAATAGTCAGTAAATCGGTAGAAAAATACGAAATTTATTTTTTGTATCACACCCACCATTTCGAACTTTGGCATTGTTATGCGCTAAAAGGAACTGTTCAACCCAGCTCTCGGCTGATTGCAGAATCCAAGCGTGTGCGATTTTATTCCTTGGTGCCTGCACTGCAAGCCAATCCAATGCCGATTGCGGACAAAATTCAGCCGCATCCCAAACACGAGATAGAACCAACTGAGAGAAGCATGGCAAACCGGATGGTCCACTCGATGATTCGGTTAACAACGTAAGCAATTTGAAGAATGGACCGCACAATTCAATGTGACGCGTAACCGATGTGAACAGCATGGTTATTATTTGATTTGCCAAACGTTCATCCCATCGACAAAGAGCATGAATCAAGTGTCGTGTTTGATGCGGGTTGATATTGTCTTTGATTTGTTGGTATAAAAATGGAAAGCCCTGGAAATTCGTAAAAAATTGCATTTAGTTTCGTCGTATTTTAATTTTGTTTTGAATTGTTTTTACCTTTCCGCCAGCAATGGCATTATAATCTCTTGGAGATAATTGGAGACGAAGGTCAGGTCCTCTGGAACGTTCGACCAAATTTGCCACTAAAGCTATCATTTTATCGAGCGACGCTGGTCTCGTTTTATCAATCGATAATGTTTCATCCGAAGAGTTGTCGTCATTATCGGAGCCAACATCAATCTACAAAGTTACAAGTTTATTTAGAAATGACATTTCCTCTCGAAATAAACAACGGGAATACATACGCAATCTTGTGTTTTGTGACCCAAATAAAAGTCGGCTACACTGCGTATCACATTGATTTTGAGCAAGAATAGGGTTTCCTCTTCACCCATGCGCGAGAATTCGTACAACAATCCAAAGAATTCGGATAAATGGCGCAAATGCGCCTTGGCACCGTGCTCCATAATCGTTATCAACGATTTTATAAAACGCGTTACGCATGATGCATCTCCAACTAACTCTCGGCCTTCGGCATCCGTTTCCGATTTCAAATACAAATTACAATGAGATTGTCGCAATCGCTGAATGACATGAATGACTAAACGCTGAAACATTTGCCGAACCATTTGGTTTGGACATTTGATAAGTATCTGCACCGGCCACCAAAACTCCGTTGACATATGCGTTAAAAACCATTCGCACGCCTCTGGATTTCCATTGAATTGTTTCGTCAATAATTCCACCCATAGAACCATTGTTGGCTGTAATGAAAGAAGGCAGAAGATGAAATTGGCATTCAATTTGTGAAGTACGCGATAACTGGGCTATATCCCGCTTAGCTTGAAATTTTAAGTAAACAATCTCCTTGCGCTTATTCCGAATACCATAAATATGTAGCGCTTAGAGAGAGTTTTATTCAAATCAGTGGATAAATTACCTTTTCCTTAGCATGAATGAAAGTCTCGATAAAAAACGATACTGATAATTGAGCCGCTATACATGTAACATCCGTTTTGTGCAATAATGACTGTGGAATACTGCCGCATATTTGCCACATGAAACTGTTCAGAAGAGAAATGAGTAAGAAACCGTTAGAAAAAAACGCTTTGCCATAAGTGAAAGGCATCAGTCGCTCACTTGAAATATGTGTGTTCGAAAATATTTCGATCCTGTAGAAAGTAGCGATTATCTTCCCAAATCCATTCTTCGAGTTCTTTGTTCAGCAAATGCCTTGATGTTGTTGTCTTTTTCGTTGAGCTCGTTGATGCTACGGCCAGCGTTTTGTTGACAGCATCGGTGGTCGTTTCATCGTTGGCATTTTCATTGCAATCGCTACCGCTCTTAGTGTCTATATCACATTTGTTATGCTCTACCGCTAATTCGTCATTCATTGAGTCTGTGGGTGGATCTGTGGCAATTGGTTCGTCGGATTTGTCGACTTTAATCACCGAATCAATGATTTTGTTCACTGATACCGGTGGCGGCGGTGGTGTGGCGGTTGTTGTTGTTGTTGCCGTAGAGCAGCTTGCCTGTTCCGTATCCTCAATTTTGATATCCTCAACTTTAATATCCGACGATCCTTGATCCGAATGTGTTTCAAAATGCGATTGATGCGGTGAAATGCGCTCATAGAAAAGCATGTAGGCCGAGTTCGTTTTTTCAAAACTAAAATCAAGATACTTTTCCGTGACTGCGTCATAGGTTTTGCTCGTCATTTCACCACCAAAGCATTCGGCTTCGATTTGTGATGGATCGAATTGTTTGACTTCAGCATCGTTGAACAAAAACCAGCGATCCGGTGCATGCGGATGAGGACCGTTTCGCTCTTTAATGAAACTGTAGTAATGGCCACCATCTGCGTTGCCCGTATGGACAGTAACACCGATCAAACTGTACTCGTATGGTTCGTTTACGGCTTCTTCCGATGAACATACATCCATCTTTTCGATTTCTTGCTCCTTATCTTGTGGCTCGTTAACGTTCTTCTCGTCATTTCGTTCGTTCTGGTCACTTGGTTCTGTTTTCGATTCCTGATACGGTTGAGGTAACAACGATTTCTCTACATAACCAGACATATCCAACTTCATTGGGAACGAAAAGTGAGTGTTCACCTTCTCCTTTTGCACTGTTAACCTGTTAAAAGCTGGAAAAGTTTCAATTTGAAACGAACATTTTCATTAAAAATCAATTTCATGATCTTTTCAAGATTTTCTCTATAATTACCACATCTCATTGTATTGAAGCATAAAATTTCGGGTAATTTCTTAAAGCAAGCTCTTTTTTCCGCACGAACCTTTCGACCACATTGATCACAAGTGTACATATTGTCACCTTCCAGTGTGTCTTTGACCGTTACCTCGGCCAGCGATTCATGTAAATCACGCATTTGCGCCACCTGACACCGAACCGTATAGAATTCTTCCTGTGTTCGACTCACATGGCCACAGTCGAGAGAGACGACATTATTACTCAATGTTCCGCAAAACAGTCGCTTGATGAGTGTTTTCAGTTCGGGTGTCATTTCTTCTAGTTTTGATACCATATCGATGAAGAATTCAGCCATGTCCTTTTGTTCGCCCGTATTCAATGGCTGATGATCCATTTGATAGACACGGCAAAATGAGCGTGGATTGTAGGATTTTCGTTCGGATTCCATGAGATAGGCGAACATTCGTTGTAATTCTTGAAGTGTCGTTGCATGTTTGAGCGCCAACTTCGAATCAACGGTGAGTATAGCCTCTCGTGCTTGTGGCATCATGAACAAGTGTTGGATGCACGATGCCATATAGCATGTAGCACCAAGATTCGTTAGGCCAATGTAACCGCATTCCGAACGGCCATCGTCACGTGGCCAATAATCCCATGGATACGGTGAATGTGGACCAGGCTGATGTTGTTTTAGCAATTTTCCGTGCAAAATTTTGAAATTATTTGGTGCGTTACGGCACATTTCGGCCAGCAGATCATAGGCAGCGGCGCGTGATGATTGCGATTTGTATTTTGGTTTGAGGCGATTTTGCGGTGATGGCAAATCAAACAGGCAATCGAATACTTGGGTAATGAATAATTCGGCATCAGCACTGAATTTAAACGGTGGATCGTATTTCATTAAATTCGTCATTAGATTCAAAAGTCCAACTAAACCATCATCCTGTCCACTGAAACGGGTTTCAATGATTTTCCGACTAATGATGCTGTTCGAAACTTGACGGCACAACGCTTCGATATCGATGATCGCCGACGATGGTTCGTCAAGGCTTGATCGATCGTCTAGAATAAAACGCTGTAACCATGCACAAATATCGGGTTCAACCCATAAATATTCGCGCGCCTGAGCTGACGAATGCACGTGAATGACTTGAGCTCGGCCCCAAAATCCGGTTTTGAATTGATGTGGATTTGGAGGTCTACTTGCGTCGCTTAAAATCGACGCCAATCGATGTAACGTTGCTTCCGCTGACATCAACTGCATCATGCAATCCTTGATCGCTGGCACAGTCAATAGATTCTGTGGAAATGCAAAAAAAGGGACAAATTATACACATGGACTCAATGGTTCTCTGGATTTTTCTCATTCCACACATAGGCGAACGCACAATCGCTTTGCCTTTCCTTCTTCCCTCGTTCAATCTCTCTATCGCCGCATCTCGCTCTATCGCACTTCATATGTACACATTTCGAATTGTAGCATTCGACAATTGAATTCGGAGCAAAATGTGGAAAAGGGTTCGTTGAATTGATTCGTATAAAAAAAGGTATACGACTGTTCAAAATACGGCTTCAATACGAAAATTCCCTTTTCTGACAAATTGCGACTCGGTCTATCGTGTGTATTTAGGGAAGAACAGACGGCAATGACAACAACAACATCAATATCAACAACGGCGATCGAGAGAAAAAATCTAACTCACTCGCACATGCACACAACGAATAAAACCATTGAAAAATGGTTCAGCTTGAATTTGTGCGTTATGCCAAGCAACGACGCACAAACGATGATGGCATGGTCGTTTTGGTAGCCCGTTGAGCAGTAGCAAAAGGTAAGCGAGTATATATAGAGTATTGCAACATCGAAAAGTAGTCAGCAATAACGATAGTGAATTTTTGCCGTAGATTGACAAATTTCACATACACACACACACACGTAATATGGTCACCATATATACCACCGCAATGAAGTACAAAGAGCCAAAATGAGAACGAGCCGAGTCGTTTGAGAAACTAACGCCTCGTATACGGTACTTGAAATGTAGAGGCCACAAAATGTAATGCATCGGGTGAAATGTCGATTTACACACCATCACACATACACTGCATGGTTTTTCAGTTTAATAGCAACGGGAAAAAAAGAAAGGATTTTTCCCATACAAATGGAGTCAATACTCGGCCTAAAAGCAAAAGGGCGGAAAATGATACGCTCCGAATGCAGGAGAAAAAAATGCAGAAATGGTGGCGGCGACGACGACGATAACGACGATGCAACACACAAAATGAAATAAAACAAATCCCAAAACGTGAATTTAATAATTAAAGCAACATCAAAATAATACCAATGGATATGATTTTGAACAAACAAACGGACATACAGTCAGCAAACAAAACGAGAGGAAATGTGAAGAAAATTAAGAAAAATTTCACGGAAAAGTGAAATAATGTCCGTAAATCGAAAATAATCACTTGATCGTCGGTCAATATTGGATTAATGCATTTGAATTTTTACTCACAAGAAACGAGGAGGCTTAGAAAATCCACACAAACGTCACACATTTTATGGACTGCGATTGTTTATGCATTAGTGCCATATATTTTTATTTTCTTATTTTAATCTGTTTCTTCGGAATATAAGGATAATACAACGAATTGGAAAAATGTACAAGCGTTTCTAATGAAAAATTTCAATTGTTCAACGTTATCGCAAATGCAATTAACTTAAAACAAATGCTATTCAAATCGGCCAACGATTCGAATTCTCTTACAAAAAAATAATAATAGAAAAACAGTATCAAATGGAAAATGTTTCTCACAAAGACAGTTGTCACTTGTATTATTAAATATAAATCATGTAGTTAAAATTCAATATGGCTGAAAAGTATAAAGAGAAAAAATACAATACGCATACATTCACATGCACTGGGGCCAACATTCACTCGCGCTGCGATGCACTTTCACGGAGAGTTCAACAATACAACACGACAACACAGATTTATACGCGATGTGGGCATGTGTGCGTGTGTGTGTCTATGTGTCTATTC